CGCATAGCCGCTGCTGTTCTTTGATAATTGTGCTGATTTCCCTTTCGATGTCTCCGATGTATTTTTGTTTACAGAGCAATCCATTTTATTGACCTCTTCATGTTGTGTGGGCAAGCTGGTGAAGAGGGTTGTACGAGTGTTCTATTTCCATAGTATCGGCCGCACCTTCCGAGCCAACTCACAGGAGGGCAGACATATCCACCTTTTTTCCTCTGTTCCTCTTGCTTTACTTTCATGATCTCTGTCCTTCCATCTGTTCATTACCATCCGTATGTTGTGTTGTATTTCTTTTTATAGATATCCGTTTCTAAGATACATCTGAGTTAGTTTTTCCTGTTCCTTTTCCTAGAACTCAGAATCAGTGAGTCGTAGGCTTCTTATGACTTTACCCTGAGTATTCCAATCTTCATTCCATAAGTCTGGTTCGACTGAAAGTTAAGAGTTATTCTTTCGGAAAAATCGTTCATCAGAGCACATGACCTCTACATCCAAAGAAGGTAAGTGTCCGTTCTACTGCACATCCATGGTAAATTTGACTTTTTTATCCATTTCGCTTATGAAGCTCAAGAAATCGTCTAATTTTTCTTTTCCATGCCTATCAGATTGTGAAGTAGTCATCCACCTTGTGAAAAGCACTTTGTCCTGTGTCCTCTGCCATAGTTTTCGTGATTTCCAGCATTTGGGATTTATAGGAGTGGGTTGACTGCGACCATACTGGGTGTCACACCATCTTAGTTTTCATATCTTCGATTTGGGATGTATGTATATCAGAGAACTACATTACTTATTTCCTTAGCAATCTTGAACAATCATTTATAGTAAGTAGGTTTATAGATTATTACTATATCTTGAATAAAAACTCATGTCATTCTAGGCCACATTAGGTAATAATGCGCTGATAGGTATACTTTCCTACAATTATATAAGTGGGCTTTATGACGTATCATTGCCTGTCATAAGATATTTTCAGCCAAGGCTGACTGCAGTTCTGACCTTTATTTGGTCTTATCAGCACCCCTAACTGGCATTGAGCCTTTCTATTGCAAAGTTTACTTTCGACATTAAAACCACGGCACACTGCCATGGGCATTCTTGTCTCACTAGACAGACATGACTGTCAAGGGAAGCCAAGTTTCTTCCATATAACATTTTTAAATATAGATGGCTTAAACCTATATTTTGCCATTACAATTGACCATGCCGTTATAATTCATAATTTGTAGGCTTTGAGATTAACGGACTAGACTCCAGTTGGGTATATTGATGATACCCAGGCGAGGTCGAAACTGCAATCCCGTTTGAGTGATAGTATCTTTTGAGAGGCAAGAGTATATGAAATTGAATGCTATTGTAAGAATTGTTTATATAATTATGGAACAACTCAACTTTCGGTTCTTCATCACTTTATGCCACCTCTTATGATTTTAGGTAGTCTTTGCCTAGCAGAAATCTCTCATTCAGCATGTCTATTTAGTTAAGGCTACGAATAATTTATGGTTAAAATACAGAGTTTCATGAAGGCAGTGAAGAACATTTTTCTGAGTACTGGGAATTCACAATTATATGCAAATTTGGGTTTCTCTTTAAAGGTTCTCTCATTCTTCTCCCCTTAAATAACCTTTAGCTACCTAGGATGAATTAAGTTCTTATTCAATACTTACTGATAGTCTCTAAAATTATTCTTATAATTTATTAGATGATTATAAAAGAGGTTAATTTTTTTAAAGGCCGCATTTCCAACCCTTTTTGATCAAACTAGCTCGCGGGAGTTAAATATTGAGCTTAAGATCTTTGATTGGATGAGCTACACGTTCCATGAGATCCTCATCTGTTATAAGATAAAAAATAACTGTTAGAGCCATTTAAGACAAAATCAATGACAAAAGTTCTTTGCGAACTTTATTTGAATATAGATAATCATATCCCTATGAGTATTTTTACCAGGTCACATAGCAGAACTTGGCATTGGTTACATCAGGGTAAGGTTGACTCATAGAGGCCTGTTGAGCTTATAATCACAATTGAGTAAAGTCGATCCACTTAACCTCAAGAATCATAACCGTAATGTTGTTTAGCTTACTTCTACTTAGAGTGAAAGTGTTTGGCAAAGGGATTTAAAGGTCGATCTCAGCAGAAGAAGAGCGCGGATTCTGCTTGATCAGCTGTCAATTGACTCTACTGAAACATTCTTCTTGCCGCTGAATCCGAGGCAATTTCTTTCTGTTCCGATGAAAGCATGCTTAGCTTTCGTCCATCGTATAAAGGACAGGTGGCTCAGCACCCTCTATTAATTAATTAAGTACAAGTAGTTATTAATTAACTTCTTGCCGGTATTCCTTACATTCAATCTATTGCCTATTCAATTTATCTCGATGGCCTCTCTAATTTTACGTTTTGCTGCAATTATACCATATTCAATATCATGTCCAGTTTATACTGTGTGCCCAGCTAGCTCTGTTTTTTTACCCAACAGCATCTGTAGGCGCTTTTGTCCTCATCCACCCTTTGCAGAATAGGACAAGTTTATCCAATATTTGTATTTTATTTTATAGCAATTTGATCTGGATACTGGGCCACCATTCTCTCTATAAATGGGCATAACCGAAGAAAGTGTCATTGTTTCCTTGACAACCTTTTTTTATTTCCCATTTCCTTATTAATTCGCCTATCTTTTTAGTCGAATGCATGAAGCCAAAGACAGAACATAGGAAAACGTCTCCTTATATCTCCTTACGTATACATCCTTAATTAAGGTATTTTCCCCGCATAACCATGATAGAAATCAAAAATTGATCTTACCCTTGTAGATTACCATGAATCCCATTTGCAAATTATCCAGATTCTGAAAAAAGATTGCTTGTGTGTCTGCGTCCGTTTGCTTGACACTTCATACAAACATGTGCTTTTTTCGGATACACACATATGACGTCATCATGCCCACCGAACTCCTTTATTCTAGAGTCTCTGCAATCAGCTGACTCCAATGCCTTGGGCGCTCAGCTGCATCGCTATGGTGGCCTTCAGCCAGCAGGTGCGTTCGCCCAGCCATTGGGAACCCGACGTCTGCGCGCAAGCACAGCACACGCCCTACTTTATGACCAAACTCACGACAATCCTTCGCCAATGGAGCGGCACTCGTTATTCGATTTCCTTCCACGCGCTGGCCTTGTCGCAATGGGTTGTTGCGCCACGGGCTCAGTGCGCGGCTATGATGAACTAGTACCACATCACATCAATGTAGTCACAGAGGAGCGGCTATATTCCACCTGGGCCGAAGCTTCACAGTCTTCGAATGCTGAAAATCCTGCTTCCGGGAATACCGGCATCGTCTGCGCCAAAGGCGTGCTTAACCGCCTACATCAGTGGATGGCAGCAGAGCGATACATTGAGACGTTCGTCGACCAGGTCTGCTGTCACTTCCCAAGCAATGCATATAGCTTTTTAATTTAGTATGAGTTTGTTTAAATGCTTTACAATGTATTAGTTCAGGTTACTATACCCAGCTATTGATGATTTTTTTGAATGGAGTCGCATGAGATGTGAAACATTACCAAAATGTCGTTTTTCAACTAATTTTAGACATGGTTTGGCACCTTTAAAAATCTTCGCAATCCGAAGATATGAAGACCAGGATGGCGTGGCCTTTTTTGTATGGTCGCGGTCTCCTTTCGTTGTATAGAAGTTGTTTGAACTTTTTTTCACAACTTGGTCATATTGGCAAGAATACCTAGAGGAACGCACCTTGTCCGGAGTCTATAGTATGCATGATAATTTTCAGAGTCTGACCGTGGACTTTGTACATTCTTAGCCGTTTAGCCGGCATCGTCAGTGAGCCTGCCATTCTTAGCACCACACTACAACTCGTCAAAGAGACAAGTGAAGTCGTTACTTTGACCAAATGTGTGCTAAACAGTTGTGGTATCTCTCCTATCCTGGGCTATTCATCTATCCTATATATTCGTATCACCCCTTCAATATCACAATTTATTACTGGTTTATCTGGGTCTATTTTATATCTATTCACACTCTCCGCTGCTTTCCTTATCCCTTTCACTGTTCCGGGAGTGTTGATCCAAGGCTGCGGTTTAGTCCGAAATCCTCTCTTCGGTTCCTATCAGAATCCCCTTATGCTCCATAGGATCCTTCTCTTGTCTGTCGGTTTCAGTGATTTCATTTCATCGCTGCCACGGTATCCTTGCTACTCAAGGCGTTGTTCTACACTCTGTATTAAGCCTTTGATCTTGCGTATACACCTACCTTACTGCGCAAGCCCCTAAAGTCTGGATTCTCATTTGGCATGGCAATCTAACTTGACGCCTTAGATTCCCTCAACCCTGCGCGGAACGTGTATCGAATGCATCTCGTGGTCAAACCTTTACTTCATGGACCACGTCAATGAGCAAACTTATCTACTAATAGCCAATTGTAAATGGCCACTACCGTTTCTCTCGCTTTTCCATGACATTATTGCGTGCCAACCCCCAAATAGGATGGTTCTACTTGATTTGAATAGGCTCACTGTAGACGTCTTTTCTTGGTTTCCGATTTTTCCTTTCTAGTATCGTAATCTCTTTTCTTAAAATCAAAAGTATTACATTTATCCAGTCGTTTTCGTTATACAGATATTCCTGTTTACTGATCTTCGAGTTTGCTTAGGCAGTAAGTTTTCGCTAATCTTTCCTTCTTCAAGTCTCCTGTTCATTAGGTTTCTTTCAGCCAGGATATCAATGGCTTTTCGTATCTTAA